GCAGGAGGTTCATGGTATTCATAGAGTCAGAGAGGCACTGCTGCTCTGTAGGTGAATAGTTGATAAGATTATTCCATTTTTACCACTGTGTATGTATGTGTGCTTTCTAATATGTATGCTCCTAGTACAGTATGGGTGCTGCGCGCGCGTGTGTGTGTGCGCTCAAATGAAGATATGCTCTTGTGGGTTTGCTTGCATGCTTGTGGTGCCTCCTGTTTGCATATTTTTCTGTCCCAGCACATTTGTGTGTGTGTGTGTGTGTGTGTGTGTGTGTGTGTGTGTGTGTGTGTGTGTGTGTTTACCCATGTGTGTGTCTGTGTGTGTTTGGGAAATGGGCGGCATCATATATCTAATTCCAGGGCAATGATACACTAGCTCTGCTGTCCCATCATCCCTCACTTTCTCTCTCACTTTCCATCTCTCTCTTCTATCTCCCTAAACACCCTGAATTACCTCCCTAAGCCTTTTCAAGATTCAAACAGGGCGTTTCAATTGAATGTTATATAGTAAAGAGTAAAAGTGTGTGTGTGTGTGTCTATGTGTGTCTCTGTGTGTATGTGTGTTGTGTCTATATGTGTTTACGTCTGGGTAATATGAGCACTGAGAATGGGTATTTGTATTTTCCTGAGTTTGAGAAACTGTGTGCATGCTTGTGTGTTTGTGAGACAGAAAGAGAGGCTCAGAGAAGAAGAGAAAATACAAGAAAAAGCAGAAATGTGTGAGTCCATGTGTTTTTCTTCTAGTCTACACAAATGTTTTTGCGCCTATGCGCTTGTGGGGGTGTGTGCATTTTATTTTTGTCTGTGTATGTGTGTGTGTGACTTATCTAATTTGGCAAAAATGTCTGAGATAGAGAGGGATGTTCCAGCTTTGTTTGCTTTGTAGTCTGTGTGTTTGTCTGTGTGTGTGCGTGTGCGTGTCCATGTGTGTGTTGTCGATACTGGCTATGGTAGAGGATTAGGGGTAAAGGGGTATCAGTTTTGAAAGTGTATGTCTATTTACAGTATGTGTGTGTGTGTGTGTGTGTGTGTGTGTGTGCGTGTGTGTGCGTGTGTGTGCGAGAGTGCCTGTTTCTCAGTATGCGTATGTTTTTTCAGCTGCCGCCGATTCTAACTAACAGATAAGACGTTAAGGAGTATGATCTCATGATTTCCACGGCTACTGCACTGATACACATCGCAGACCACTTACTGAGAACACAAAACCCTATCACACACACTCACTCACACACACACACACACATACACACACATACACACACAAATACACATTCCTACCCATGAGGCATTTTGACCCTACATGGCTTGGTTCGGCTTGCTTTAGGTGGCAGACATGTTTGCAAACCTCTGAATTCCTCAACCTCAGACCCCTGAAAATACGTGGTGATGTTTTAAAAGATGTTACAGCGCTGGCTGTCAGGATGTTGAGTGGCTTCAAGGGCCAATCAGCACAATAGATACACAGCTACATGAGAGATATTGGTAAGTAAGTCTCAATTAAGTATCAATTATCCCCCCTATTTTGCTCTTTGACTCTGCATCAAAGTAGCCTACTTTTTTTTTTTTTTTTTTACTGAAAACACACAAACCTGGCAACCTTACCGATGACACTATGAGGAGTTAAAATGACGAGACATTTTGACGATTCAGCAATGAATTGACACATCCAAATCTACGCCTAGGAGTGTTATTTTTATAGTAAAGGTATTGTAGTATTAGGAGTGGCTTCACACCATGTCCACTCATGTTAGTAAAAGAACCACATTCCATCAGTCTTTCCTTCCTCAATCTACCGCTCTCATTTCTTTCCCCCTGCTATTGATCCATCAGTCTCTCTATCCATGTGATAGATCCGTTCACATTGTCGGCAATGCTCGAATATGATTGGTCACTTCTCATGACATCAGTCCTAACACTTTTACAGATATTTATTGGTTAGGTTTGTAGGTTTTTCTGAAGTGGGCAGGCCTACAGGCGTGAACGAGGGAATAAATGTGGGTTTTTGCCCCTGGTACATATTTACTACATACCGTAAATCGAACCTGGACATTGTTCTGCTACAGCCATCCATTATTGATGACAGCATTCAGGCAAGACGTTTATGAGCTGGGCTGTTAGGATCAGTAATTCACTCTGTCAGGAGATCAGGAGAGAGAAGTGGGGGTAAAGAGGATCAAAAACAAGAGGAAAGCAGAAGATTTAGGAAGAAGAAGAAGGAAATAGAAAACCGATGGGTAGAGGAAAAATGTGAGTTGGTGAGAGGAGAGAAGCAAGGATGGTGCAGAGGAGAAGGAAAAACAGAAGGCATTTTCGAGATAGAGCTTTTATTCATGGGAAAATTTCTCTCCATCCCTCTGCTTTTTCTCCATTCCACCCACCCTTTTCTCTGGCTATCATGTTTCTTATGCCAATCAATAATTTATAGCTGTCGCTCCAGAGCAATGAACCCCCACCCTAAACCACCCCCACCCCCCCTCCCAGCTCTGAATGACAGATGAGGGTGAGAATGGGTGTTGGGTCAAAGTGAAAAGCGGGGAGGGGTGCAAAGCAGAGTGGTTGAGAAACATAAAGTAACAAGAAATGTGCAATAGTGAAAGAGAAGGCAGTGCAGTGAGAGTGAGAAATGAGACTGACAGAGAATTGGATGAACATGACACTGGATAAATAACCGAGAGCGGGAGAAAATGAAATTATGTAGCGAAAATGTCTACCAATTTTCATACTCTCAGAGAACTAATTACAGAAGTACGAGAGAAAATGTCAGCTTTGTGACATCAAAGTGGGGACTCTGCCTACTCATTTTTCCCCTATTTGTGCCTTGTTGTTTTACCCAAGCTGCTTTTAGCTCCTAGCCCACAGCACACTGCTATTCTCCGAGATAAGAACCACAACTACACACACACACACACACACACACACACACACACACACACACACACACACACAGTTAGGGTGCTCAATTATGTGTAGTTTTTTTTGTATACAGTATGTGTGTGTCTGTTTTTGTAGGAGTGTTTATGTGACTGTAGCCATGGTACATTAGGACTGAAAAAAAGAGGTTGAACCTTGAAGCTGTGTGTCAAAAAGGTTCTGTGTGTGTTGAAATTTTCCCATGAGTCACATCTCTCCAGGTGAGGCAGTCATACACAGAAGCACACACACAAACAAAAGAGAGAGAGCGAGAGAGAGAGAAGGAAAGGACCATTTAAATGAAACTTGATGATGATGATGATGATGATGATGATGATGATGATGATGATGATGATGATGATGATGATGACGATGACGATGATGGAATGGAGGGAAATTACAACCTAAAAGAAAAATGTGCATTCACGTGTGTTCGTCTATGGGAGAGAAAGAAAGAGAGGCCTTTCCCCCCCCTCCCACCTGCTCTTGTAATCCTCTGTGTTTTGGTGACCTTGGCAACCTGGTGACAAAACATCCTTGGTGTCCCTTTGATTGAGGCCTCGGGTGGGCGTGAAGTTTGGACAGACTGAAAAGAGAGTGGAGGAGAGAGAGAGAGCAGGATCAGGTAGTTGCTGATGCCCTCAGGGTTGGCTCCTCTGTCTGTTCAGTTATTTCCTCTCGTCTATCTATCTGTCTGTCAGTACTTTTCCTGCCCATTTCTTTATCTACTGTCCTCTACAGCATGATTTTACAACAAACCTTACCTAAAAAGATCAAGATTAAGATTTAATTTGACTAGAGGAAGGACTGTTAACTGTATACATAATTAATACTGATAATGCATACATGGAACATATTTCTAGAGTTTGTAACGGGAAGAGAAAATAGCTTCTGTCAAATAAATATTTATTGTTTAAGTTGATTATAGATATATATCATTTATTTATTAATTGAATTAGGCTTCCAGTGGGTTGACTGAGATTTAGTGTATATGTAGGCGCTGTTATGGCTTCCTTATGTGTCTTTATATTCACATAAAGCTGTGTGTATTTACTGTAAATCCCTCTGTTGGAGATCTTTTGGGATTTCCCCACTGTCTGTGTAGGATTAAACTTGCATGAGTTTTAAGTAGTTGTGCTGCAAGGTGTTGGTGGGTATGTAGCAGTTTGTTTTTTTTGCTGGTGATTAAAGCAGGGCAGACACTGTGCATTTAAAAAAAAAAAAAAAAAAAAACTTGCACTACACTTCTAAATCTGCACCCAGTACATGGCTTAAACCTTTTATGCTAAGGATCAGTTGACTGGCGACAAATGCAAAGAATCCCTGGTCAAAAGGCTGCATTTCTTTATGCAAAATTCTACTATGAATGGAAAGGGGGGGGGGGGTATGGTGCCGCAAATGGTTGGATGAATCAGACGATATGGTGTCTGATCTTCACCGATGTACAGTTTTCCATCACAGCAGTCTCAGTCCAGACTACCATTTTAGCCGCAACATATAAAATACTACCCCAATATTATTAGGATAAGCTCATTACAGTTTATCACAGATCTGTTGAAAGCAGCCACGAGGCAGGTTGGACCATGGCACTGCTCAGACTGCAAGCGAGCAGGTCGACATTTCACCTGAGGGTTAGATCATTGATATTGAGGGAAACCAGGCATTGTGACCCTCTTCATGTCTCCCCTTCTCTTTTGCTCCTTCTCTATCAATTTGTCTTTGTCCACAAATGGACACCACAATCAGGTGCTGATTAAAGGTGCATTTTATGGCTCAGTGGAAGAAAATTGTTCTCTGTCCAGGTCACTGGCTTGTGACACGGCAATTATTAGTGATCAGATGAAAACGGCAATGTCTAGTACACACTCAGTTCAGGGGGAAAGTGTTAGACAATGCTGCTCACTGGGATGAATCGCAGAACGAGAATGAATGATTGAAAGAATGCAGCATATTCTCTCTGAACCAACTTTGTACCCTGTTAGTCCTCAAAGCGAGTCGATAAAACAAAGAGTGATTGAGCTGGAAACTGTGAAAAATATTCTCTGCAGTGACTGTCATAATTTTAACCTCTTCCTTTTCTTCCCCCCACAGTGAGAGATGATGATGACTTCTTGAGCCTGAGCGAGCTCCCGGAGACCTTCCCCTCAGACCCGCCAGAGCCCTTACCTCACTTCCTGTTTGAACCTGAGGAAGGGTACATTGTCAAGAATAAGCCTGTCAATCTCTACTGCAAAGCGACGCCTGCCACACAGATTTACTTCAAGTGCAACAGCGAGTGGGTCCATCAGAAGGACCACACTGTGGAGGAGAGGGTGGATGAAAACTCAGGTGAGTGAAGCCCACAGTTTTACAGAAGCGCCAACATTTCCAGCTGATGGCCTTCTTACTGTTTCAAGTCATGTCACATCACTTTTCCTAACCTTTGACCTCATGACTGTAACCTTTAACCAGATGAAGGATTTTAGTCATTGCACGTCTGGATCTGAAGTTATCAGAGAAACAAGCTGAGTGAACAGCCCCTCTCGCAGCCCCTCGTTACCTTATGTGTCCGCCCAAGAGCATCAGAGAAACACTGATTTTTAATGTGAAACTGCCTTATTAAGCATTTTGGCTTTAATTACCTGGTCTGTTTGTTTTGGAGAGGAGGAGACCTCTGCAGATAATTCAGCTTCTGGTAAAAACCTCCTGAACAATGAACACTGAAAGAATCCTAACCTAAAAACAAGATGAGCTAACGTTAGCTGCAGCTCAGCTAACAGCCCGCTGCCCCGCCGTCTAAGAGCATCGGTGATATACGGATTTTTAACGCAAAACTGCTTTTATTCAGTGTTTTTACCCATTTTAATTATTTTTTTGAAGAGACGTATATCTCCTTGTAAAAACCTGATCCTGAACAATGGACACTGAAGGCGTTGAGTTGTTCAATAATCAAGACAACAACTCTTGTGATCACACGCTAATTCACAATGTCATCAAATTATTATTGTGGTTGTTTTGAGACATCCCTAGTAGCAGAAAAGCCCGTTGAACTTTTGTAAATGGAAAGCTGTTTGTTAAAATCTTTAAATACAAAATTATATTGTGAGGCAGGAGCGCAATGGAAAACCATGGAAGCCTAGAGCACACAATCACATTCACACAAATACACACATAGATCTAACCCAGAGCTTTATTTGAAGTGCAATAGAAAGTGGGCATATCAGATCATAATGTTGAAAAATGGGTGGAAAAAGACATTAAATGAAAACTGACATGCAGAGCGGGTATTCAGTACACGAACTGTCAACTGTTTTTTGTTTAACTCAAGACATTTTTGACAGAAAACACTGCTGGTAATAAAAAAAGAAAAAAAAAATGCCAGTGACATGTTAAGTGCAGTTCTCACACAGGAGAACTACTTTTTTTTTTTTTTTAAGGAACACACTTCAAGCTTAGAGAAAAGTAACTGTTTTTTTGAGTGGGAACACAATGAATGCATGATTGATGTTGGCGCTTTGGTAAACATTTAACAAGATGGTGACAAAAAAGTTAATAATAAAATAGGCAGAGTAGGTGAGAACATAGCACAATGTACATGCATTTAATACATATTTAATGACTGTTTATACTAAAAGTGTCCTGGAGAGCAGACATGTTAAAATATCTAAAGTGCATAGGTGTAAATTAAAATCAACTCCTTTGTTTACACCTTATGTGCCTGACCCTGATGATCTGTTGCTCTTTGGGATATGAAATCGTCACAATCGAGGAAATGTGGCAAACATTTCTCCCTGATTGTCTCGCGGCTGCGCTGTGAGTAAACAGGCAAAATCCATTATTCAGATGTTTAGTTATTTGTGCAGAAAGCGAGGTCACATGTCAGATGTGTGTACACAGCTGTCCCACTGCCAGTGCTGTACTGCGATGTTCACAGGACAGTTTAATAGGATCCACAGTGATGTACTGGACTGCAGCCAAAGTTCCGCACTTGTCACTTGACAGCACATTGTATTACTCTGCTAGCTAGGTAATGATGAATCATGCTGTTGCTTTGGCAGGAAGACAAAGACGTACAAAACCTGCTTTCTTAGACTTAAGGTTGACATGAGCTCAGCTTATGGGTCTCCACCTGCTTGTTAATGAGCAGGGGTCCCCAGAGCGAGTGATTAAGCACAGGCTGAAAACAGTTTGAAAAATCCTGATATATAGTAGCTGCAGAATGAAATACAGGGCTGGGTACAGTTGCACAAATCAATGTGTTGGCGGTTGAATTGCTTTGAACTGTAGTTTCTCTCTTGAGACAGGTGAGCAAAAAACATAGTACTTAAATTTAATCTGCTCACTCTTTGATACTTGACAGTGTGTATATGGCAAACAATCGCGAGGTAGCAGAACTTTTGATTCTGTCTCAACTCAAGTTGACACATGGACTTGCCCACCGCAGATTTCCCCTTGTAATACAAAGCAGACCCTGGAGCCAAACGTGTGTGTGTGTGTGTGTTTGTGTGTGTGTGTGTGTGTGTGTGTGTGTCTTTGTGTCGGTGTGTGTCGGTGTGTGTCGGTGTGTGTTTGGTGTCCTGGTTGCTTTGTGGGTCTGCTACAGCACTAAACCCAACACAGAGACAGAAGCAACTGAGCAGTACAGCGGTGATGTTTCCCCTGATTCGGCTGTCACACATGAATAGTCAAGGCAGAGGCGAGTAAGTGCAACAAAACCTGCAAGAAGTAAACATGAGAGAAGTGAAACAACTGGTACAAATATAGAAACACACACACGCGCGTGCGCACACACGCACACACAAACAGATGCACACAGTAGCAAAGAAAAGTTTTAATAGAAGAGAAAGTAATGTTATAGTCTCTGCTGGAGGGTGGGTCTCACATCAGACTACAGTCTACTCCCCTTCTGACTGTATTTCATTGTCTTTAACCATGTATAACTTGTTTTTGATTTCTTAAACATGTTTCTTTTGAACAGTTTTATCAATTTTTCATCTCTTCTTGGTTTCTCCCAGTCCTACATCTTTCTGAATATTTAATTCCTTCTTTTCTTTTTCTTATTATTTAGCTCTTTCTTTCTTCCTCTATCTTTGTTTTAATTCATCTTCCTCTTTGTCTTTTTTTCTCACATCTTCATCTTTTTTTCTTTTGAGTCACCCCCTAGTTCTTTGTTATACACTAAAAAACTTTATGTGCCCTGAGGAGGTTTTGCATTTCAGAAAAATAAAGGCGTGATCGTTTTGCCTGTAATTTAAACTGCAGCAGCATTAACAGACACATGGAGAAAAAAAAAAGCATGTGACCTGTTTAATATGAATGTAACCCAGGCATTTCACCTGACTTTAATCTAAGGTTTCCCAGGTTACGCTGACATATGTGTTTCTACAAGTATCCATTGTCTTCCTTCTCTCTCCTTTTATTTCCCTCTCTTTTTTCTCCCATCTATCTTTCACTGTTCATTACTGACATCATGTGCAGCTGCTAGTCATTTATTAGTCTCCCATCAGCTGTTCATTTGCTAGCTGCTAGATTCCAGACTGTGTGTTATCGAGAGGAAATGCTGTTCAACTAACGACAGGCGGATTTTGGGTCTCATACCGCATGTGATGGACACCATGAGGTTTGGCAAGGATCAGGATCACCCAGTCAGACATATAAAATCTGTTAACATCAAGTCCAAGTTACTGTAAATATGACAATAGTTTCTGTGGATTTAATTTTATAACTTCATTTTAGATTTATCTCTCTGAGTGTTCCTGCTTTTTGAAATAACCCTCAGCCACAGTTGAAACATGGATTTGGTTTTTGAATTGCTCAAGATCCGCTTCAATTTATGCTTAATTTAACTTGTACAAAGCCATTATAATGCCGCTTTAATAAAAAATTGATTGACTTCTTGCTATTTTGCACTGCACCAGGACACTGAATCTTTCAAGCACTCCATAATCCATACAGATATATGCATAACAATATAATGAATAAATAAATAAAGTGGGTGCATTACACAACTATCAAGAGCTGTTGAGGTTTGGGAATGTCTGGAGCATTTTCTCAGAAGATGTCTCTTTACTAGAATTTGTAATGAACAAAGATTGTAGCGACTGTCTCTGAGCTAAACTGAAAGTCTGTCAGTGAGTGAGAAAAACTAACGAAATAAACAGAAAGAAATCAAAGCAGTATCCTAATATGAGACTTCCATCATACCTTGTTGCTGAAAGACAATGAGATTATAAAGAGGTTATGAATACTATATATGTATATATGCAGCATTTTGTGAGTGAATCTAATACAAAGTGTATGTGTGTGTGCGTGCATGCATGCGTGCGTGTGTGTGTGCGGCATGCACACTGTTTATCTGTTTATCTGTGTGAAAACCTAAACTCTGTAAGCTGTTTTCTCCTCTTTTCCTTCCTGCTGTTTCACAGTCACAGCTAGAAGCTATGGCCCCCATACTGCTTTTATTATCTCTTTCTTCTCACTCACGTTCTTGCCTCTCTCTCCAATCCTTTCCCTTTCTTTTTTTTCTTTCTTTTCTCTTCCTCTCCCTTTGCTCCATGCTGTTTTGTGCTTTACTCTAATTTCCACTGACTGAAATCGGAGAGAGCAGTGGCAGATAAAACCTGAGCTTGAGAAAGCAGGGGAGAGAGGTGGGAGATGATCGAGGGATGCTGATGGAGGGTACCTTTGAGAGGGCTGGAAAGGCCAACTGATATCAGGGAGTCACACTGAGGAGAAAGATGATATGAATCCTGCTGAGCTGTTTTCTCGCTCACTCCTTCTCCCTCCTTCTCCCTGTGTTTCTCATCCTTTTTTTTTTTTTTTGGAGGAAATGGAAAGTCAGCTTAAGTGGTGAAACACAGTGTACCTTTGATCTAGGGGATCAAGATAAAAGAAAACAAAAGTTAACATGAGCAAACAAAAGTTAGAACATAAAAGAAACATGCTTGAAAGTTTGTGATGCCTTGTACAAAAATACGCTTCTAAGGTTGTCGATGGCAAATGGAAACACAGTTTTTTCTCATCCTGTGATGGAAAAGCAAAGAAAACAAATTAGCCATTAAATGATAGCAAGGATGAATTAAAGAAGGTTGAATGAAAGGAAAAGCAAAAATGAGGACAAGGCTCTTCAATGTTTTTTATTTTTTTTTTATCATGAGACACAAAGTTAACGGTGGAATTTTCAGTGTAGTTTATAACTATAATGCATCATACACGCCTTCAAAATGCATCATCATGCATAGCTAACACCTTACAATACCATCATAAAGCACTATGAAATCTTCTACAAACAGTGGTGGAGCATAGTATGACTGGAATTATTCATAAAGTATCACAATAAACCTTTTTCA